ATAAATTCAAAATGCTTTACTGGTTGTTTTTTAAATCCCTTTTTCTTGTCCAAGCTGCATATTAGACTTCTTTCTTGAATTTTAAGACAAAATGTATTTCGTTTATTTATTGCACTGTTATGCTACATGTATAGCTGGCTAAAGTTTATAACTTCCAAGCCATAGACAATCCCAAAAAATCAACAGAAATGTCACAGGAAATAGAAATGATATTGTATAATTTAGACAAGTTATATAACATGGGAATTTTTAAAAAAAAAATCGCATTCCATTCCAAACAGATTCTTCTATTATGCAATTAATTTTTCATATCAATTAGATTTCAACTTTAACTGAAATATTGTTTAAATTTTTTATTTGAAAATGAGGACAACAGATTTAATCAAAAGGTGCCATGGGTTATGGATGGTAGGGGAAATGAGAATCGGTTAAATATCAGTTATCTGCATCATATCGCCTCCTAGATACAGCTTTATAGCTCTTGATAGGATCTACTTTGAAACTTAAGAAAATTGGTGTCCATGATTGAATGATCTCAATTTTTTTTAATCATATCTTAAAGGTCAGGGTCACTAAGTTACAGATTTTCGCAATAGATTTTTTTCTTTGGAATCCTTAAAGAGAAAAGATTAATTTTTTGTCAAAAATATGAAGTGTTTTGATTGAAAAAAATGTTGAAACTTGTGCCCAGAATGAAAAAAATAACTTTTATTGTTATTTTTATTATGGGCATTTTGTATGTGAAATATTTTTTGTTTTATTTCTGCTTAATGTTTGAATGCATATATCAATGTTATATATCAACTTGTAAAGTTTGGGTTTTAATTATAATCGTTTCAAGTAATATGTTATATCATATTTTCTTTGTTTTGCTTTGGATGATTTTGAAACTAAATGATAGGATTTATATTGTTTTTTTTCTAATTCAACAAACTTGGATTCAACATTTTTTAAAACAAAAAGTAAAATTCAAACGAGTGTCTTTAAATCATTATCAATTAATAATAGCTCCATTTGTTTTAAAATCTTCAAGTTTTATTCTTGCATGCGAATGAAAAGTCCATGCAGCAATTGAAGCCAATTGCAAACTGATGAGTTAACCTTAGCTTTGTAAAAGACTTGTCTAAAATGAATTCGTCTTTAGCGGAACATATATGGTATGCATGAAAGTAAATTATCTATGCAGGCCTGCATATATAGTAACTTAGCACTGAATCTTCTGCCCATATGATAAACTCGCCTTTCCAGATGGTTTACCCGCGCTTTTAAAATTTTGCATTAACAGTTGTTTAATACATTTAAATCAATTCGTAATTTCATATTTATGTATTCTACCCAATAAATAATTTTTCACTTGCAGCATGCAAGTTTACAATACAAACTATAGTTATGCTTTTTTATGTTTAACGAGTTTAATCTAAATTTGAAATACTAGTATCATACCTTCTTTTTTCGATAAACTAAAAACTAATCTTGCATAAAATGAATCAGGTTTGTTTATTACTTAAGCGTTGAAAAGAAATGAAACATTCATTCATGTTAGGATTATATCATAATCAACCAACTGCTTGCAGTCTTCTGCAATCATATCTATAAGTAAATTTATGATTCACACAGTTTTATCATTTATCTAAAACATGTGAAGCAAACATGATGCATGTATATTTTCAGGTTGTATACTGTATATAGAATTGATGACATTTCGATTTTTAAAATTAAAATAATAGAAATGATAATTTTGATTTATTTTGATCCTGTGGAAAGTCAATTCTCAGTTTGTATACTATGTAATATAAATGTGAAGTATTTGCGCTCAATAAAAGTTCATATTTTCTTGGGTTCCTAGAACTCTTGGTCTTTGGGATTTATGATTTTACATTTCCACGTGGACTCATGGAGGATAGACAAAAATATAGATTTCCTATAAAAATTATGACATAATATTAAGGTTGTGTTCAGCATGTAAGTGGACATTTTTGGAAAACAAGAATCAAATTCTAGTTGTCGCGCTTTGGTCGATTTCAAAGGAAACCGGCAAGATTCATCCTTCACACTCCTTACAGAAATTAACACAATCTAAATGTTCAGACCAATATTTCAATAATAAAAAGGGAAGAAAGTGGAAAACAAGAAGATGGAGGGGGTAACGCTCGTTTTGCGGCGGGCTTTACAAGTGTGTATATCTGAAGTTTCTCAGTCCTACAAAGAAGAGCCATAATGTCAAAATAATCACTAAATACATTTTTCAAATATTCCACTTTTTGTGGAATTTATGTAATTTTTATAACAATATGCATGCAAAACTGACAAATCTTGAATATTATCACTGCGAAATTGATTACAAGTAACGTACCAAAATGGCAACACGTTCATTTAGCACAGAAACTCACATAAATAGGACGCTATAACACAAATTTTGAATAGAGTGGGTAATGTACCAAATACCAAATATTTCCAAGCGTTAAAAGAATCATCTTTCCACTGCCTTTCATTATTTGTTCACCAAAACATGGAGTCATGATCCACTATATTCAAAAAATATGGTTATAGCATTATTTATGTCAGTTTTGTGCTATTTGAATGTGTTACCATCTGGGTGTGTTAATTGTAACCAATTTCGTCACGGTATTCAAGTCTTGTCAAATTTGCATGCATATGGCAATAAACATTACATAAATTCAACAAAAAGTGGAACTTTTAGGGCCGGTACACACGATAAGGCTTGCCTTACAAGTCTAAAACCTTACGTTTTGCAGGACGCACGGCTCTCGCGTCCACACGCTAAGGCAAGACCTACAAGATAATAAACATTTTCATAAATTCCACGTGTTTTTGAGCCGTAAACAGTGCACATCATTAAAATAGAAGTATAGATTGCTAGCTAGGACTTTGAAATAATTTTACAGACCAGTGCATTCAAACTTCTTTAAAAAGAGGAGGTTGAAAAAAAAGCATTTGCTGATATTTTCATTATCTTATTCGAATATACTTATGTTCCCTTCAATCTACCCACGTGTTTGATAAAAATAGATTGAAATTTGGGTGAGTGGATTTCATTGGTTGAGAGGAACATGTCAGCTAAGTCTTGTATTAAGAAATAGAGCAGTGCTCTATTCGTAAGTCAGACTTGCAAGACTTGAAAAAACGTATATTAAAGGTGTACACACGGTTAGGCTAGAACTTAAGTTCCATGACTTATAAGGCAAGCCTTACCGTGTGTGCCGGCCCTTAAGAAATACAGTATATATATATATATATATATATATATATATATATATATATATAGATAGATAGATAGATAGATAGATAGATAGATAGATAGATAGATAGATAGATAGATAGGGTTCTCCATCAGTTGAAATTTTACTGTGTTGCAGACCACTTATATTCGCGGCATTTTCGCGATCAAATTCGCAAATTAACCACTATTCATTATAATTACACAAGCATATATAGACACAATTTTGTTTAATCACTTATTCGTTACATAAATGGTATGGTCGTGCATATTAATAAAAAAAATTAATTAATGGATATTTAAAACAATTAGAATGTATCCATATAATAATGCACATACAATGTACTACGTATACATGTATAAGACAAACCAACTGTAAATCCCCCCTCCCATACACACACAACTTAAATAAATAAGTACGATTTAAAAAAAAAAACCCAAAATATTCTTGTATCACTATCTACAAGTTGTACGTATATTATATATATTGAACGTTGATATTTTTGTGTATATAACGTCATGTTTTTTTTAAACATGCTATAAAGAGCAGAGGAAATTCTGGTCGATTCAATGGATCTACAGTAAATTTGCCGTGATTTTTGTCAGTTGATCGAATTACAGAATTTAAAAAACGGAAATTTATAAATAGTAAAATACTTTTAGGGTGTGCCTTTAAATTCTTCAACAATACATTAACATCAATGAAATGAGAACGGTACGGTGTTTGACTCATAGTGCCAACATGATTCTAGAGACGTGGTTCTGAAGTATAAAGACTTATATTTATAATAAATCTTTAATTTTTTAAAATAATATTTAAAAATGCAACTATACCAATTATACGGTTACATGGAAGCGTGAAAGCAAATTATTTGTCTTTGTTCCTTTATGCGTTAAGTCCAGCGAGGGTCTAGGAGATCATTAATTATGCAAGGTGAAGCAAAACAAAGTCCGCTAATTAGGAGATAATTAGTGTTCTGCCTTAAAAATTGAAAGAAGGTAGATTTGTTTGATTAAAGTTTCAGTTAGAAAGAATTTATGTTCTGATTTTCTGATTATCTTACTGTGTCGCAAAATTTTTACTGTGTCGCACGCATAAAATTTGAATCGTTACTGTGTCGGGGAAAGTTTTACTGTGTCGGAGCCGACACAGTAAAACAGCTCATGGAGAACCCTGAGATATAGATATACATGTATATATAGATAGATAGATATTTTATCTGTCGTTATAAAGGTATATGCCTCCGCTAATCCCCCATCGTCTTTAGCGAAATATATGTAGATAAATTTTTGAACTGCTATAGACATGCAAGACCATTCAAGTATTGATATTTGAATTTTTAATATGCGAATTTTCCGTAGAAAAATTCCGACTGATTGTTAAATCACCAAGCGGAACTTATTTCTTAAAGACTTAAGAAAATTAATGGAGATGCTTTTCTATTCAGAAGATCATGCACATAGAAGATATTTATGAAATCAAAAATGACAGTATTTAAATTGAAATGGTACCAAACAGCAAAATTCAGTGCCAATACAGGTACAATGTATTTGTTACTTCGTTTTTAAGAAATATACATTTATTTATCATACTGTACATCAATTTTAATATAATGAAAGTACAGAAAGTTGAAAAATACACCGTGTAGTATTGTGTATCTAAGAACCTCAGTTTAAACTTCAGTAAAAAAATTCAACTTTTAAAATATTTCAAATATTTTATATCTTAAAAATTTAAACTATCTCTTTAGAATATCGTAATTATTTTTAAAACTCATCTAGACTAACTGTTTCAAACAACTTTTATCTTTCAGTAAGATCGTTACTGTAATTTTTTTTTTTTTTTTTTTTTTTTTTGCAATGGGTTTTAATGCAAACACTTTCATCTTAAATGTTTTATTAATTAATTTCGTTATTGTGGCAGTGAAATACACCTGTCAAATGATGTTCAAAAACATTTCACGATATACAAAACATACACTATATATATTAAAATCATATATACATCACATACAAAAATATAAAGGAATATTTAAGATCATACTATATAAAATATCAACTGTACAATGCCATTGTGAAAATACTGAAAATATGACCTTCAGAAATATTCTACCATTATTTTCCCTCTAGAAAAAAGACATGGATTGAAAAGAAGAAAACAGAACCTCGAGGCAGTGCCAAGGTCCCGTTATAAAACATCACTCTGTAACACGTCTGTGAAAGAAATCTATTTGGCTTTTCCTCATCAAAAGATGTCAAAATAATCACGGACAAATGATATGAATGATCAGACTGGTAAAACAAACAACCATGTCCAACATATCAGAATCACAAGCCATTTTACATGGGATACAGTTGAAGAATTATACACTCCACTGAGGTGATGGTGGTTCAGTTTCACTTCGATCGCTCGCCGAGTGCTGGTTTTGTTGAGGTGAGGTATTAATTTGTTCCAAAAGTGCATTTTCCTTGGTCTAAAGGAATTAGCTGTTTCTATCAATATTTTTTCGTTTCTTGAAACTAGACGAGAATATTGTTTATTTCTTTCTTGGTATGGGGACAAACCATGATCTCTGAAAAAAGGCACAATTTTTATAACAATGAAACATGGTTTATTTCTCGTATTATCCATATTTAAAAAATGATTCTATTCCTTGATTTAAAAAAAAATGTCGAAGAAAACAGATTGAAATAAAACTAATTGAATCTCTTGTTCAAAACATATGAAAAATACTTTTCTTGGATTTAAAAGAAATGTCGACGATAATAGATTGAAATAAACTAATTGATTCACTTGTTAAAAACATATTTAAAAATATGATTTAAAAAAAAATGATTATAGGGGCCAAATTATAGATGGCCAAATTATACAGCAAATTCTACCGTCTGCTTTGACTACCATCTTCCTTCTATATTAAGAAACAACAATTCCAATAAAATGTGTGAGTAAAGCGTTTAAAACGTACTTTCCCTTCACAAAATCACTCCAAATGGTCATTACTCTTCTGCTTGCCTCTTTGTCAAGCTCGTCATACTTATATCTATGATGGCCGACCAGTGGTACCCCAAACACATATAACAAATCCACACCATGAGGGACTCCTAATGGATTAGTTTTACATTAATATAAAAAAGTACATGGAGTTTGACATGTCAATTCACAAAATATTGCTGTTTACTTCAAATAAGTTTTATTTTATTTAGATAAACAAACGCATACTTTAAATTAAAAATGTTTAAGTAGTCGTGGCAATTTCCCGTTTCAATGAAAGAATTAGGAATAAGAAATTGTTATTGATATACATAGTGAAGGTCACCTTGCCAATTTGGGTGAGGTGAATAGGTAGATACATGATCAAAACTCAGGAGATATAGATCTTGTATATATCGACATAACAGATCAGCTAAGCGAATCATAGGAGCAAAAAATATGAAATCAGCATCCACCTGAAATGAAGACAAGAGAATAATTTATAGTATATAGGGCGTTGGAAAGCTGATAATTCTTGTTTAAAGTTACGTCAGTGTTATTAAATATTACAACTATTTACGTGTGAATGATTCCTTGATGAGAGATAGGGAAACATAATGTTTGAAAGCAAAGCAGAGTTCTTTTTTTTTTCGTAACAATCACTAGACACAGATTCTATGACCCATACATATTTCAAAATGACCTGACATTGAGGAAGAATTCTGCTACTGTGTTCTTCACTTAATACTGTAATCAAAATGACAGGGCCGTTTTGAAAACTGGCATCGGTGAAATTCTTACACCTGCAAACTTTGTGTAGCCAAATTTTTTCAAAAGATTTTTAGAATTCTAAATCATAAAAACTTAAAATTAAAAAGGTTACTCCCAAAGTATTTGCAGTGAAAATCATAAAATAAATGTTGTTTCACTCCACTCGAAATTTAGATATTACTTACATTTTTGACATCTTTAAGAGCATATTCATTCAGAAACAATATCTGATATATTAAACCATAATAGTACTAAACTGAAACTCATACAAACCTGCTGAAGTTGAATGTAGCGAAGGGCACCTTCAAATTCTTTGTATTCTTTGAAAACAATCTCTAAAATTTAAAAGAAAAATCCATAACAAATGGGATTTGCAAGAATGTACTTTTTACATGAATACTCTCCATAGAAAAGCAAATACATGTTATTTTCAAATTTTTGTGAAGAATAAATTTTGCGCCTTCAAATTAGCTTTTTAGGTAGGTGTTTTACAATATCGTAATTTACTTTCTTCATCTATAAGAAAAATCATTTTAAGTTTGGATTAAAAGCATAACTTTGCATATTTTTATAATACGTCAAAGCTATCTACCTGAGACGAATCAAATTCAAAACTTGCTGTCAAGAACAATATTTGGTATAGATAACAATTGTTTAGAATGTAAGGGTATTCATCACAAAAACATGAACAATATGGTCAGAAAATTAACGATTTTTTTCATATCTAACAGAACTTGGAAGATACGGGGTTATAAGGACGTATTAAAGAAACAGAAACATAAAAGTGCACGCGAAGCAGCATGCATAGTTAAAATCATTTCAAAGGCCTGCAAAGACACATTAAAAGAAAATCGTTCATCTTCACTTGATGTAGGTAAAATACTGGATTTAAATAGGTCCTCAGTTACACATTATAATTAAGATACATGTACACTCACTAAATTGCAATAATCAAAAATAATTATGGAAAACGTTTACTCATTCAAACTCTCTGCGTATCGGCACAGTTATGATGAATCAGCAATTTCAAATGAGTGAAATAAGTGCTTTCTCCCTATACTGTTTGATTGGATTACGTATGTATATCACGTGTGATTCATTCAAAAATGTTGCTTAAACTACTGAAATGGTCTGTGGAAAGACTTCGTCAATAATATTAAACAAAAAGGGCACTCGTAAATTTATTCCAGTATGGAAAATAAAATATAGTTCATTGATTTGTATTCTAGCTCTAGAATAAAACTAAAAAATTCATTAATTAAATAATTTGAGAATATATTGAAAACAGTTGCCAGATAAATGTTATTCATTTGATGATTGAAATATATTCTGAAAACACGTTGTACTTCGAAAGATGATGACCACGAAAAACATTAAACTTTTTTCATTATAACATGCCTATGAAACATTACTACATGTACTAAAATTAGGGTATTTAATATGAAGAACACATGTTTAAAACCTGCCATATTGATTTCAAAAATTTTAAATCATATCTACACATTATAAATGATAAAAGGTTAATTATAAAAACAAAGAGTAACGTCGAGAACTCTATATCTTATACATAATCAAGAAATAATAAAGTCTCAATTTAAAGGACAACGTGATTTAAAATTATGGAAGAAAGTAGGACAATTAGGTCTCGTTAACAGATAAATCAAAAGTGTGGCGGTTTTGTACTTTTTCCAAATGGCAATAATCTTGGATTTAGTCTTTGTCTATTTTTTTTAAAGATTACTCAGCCTTCTAGAAAATTTAATTCAAATATATGACCTTGGGATGTCTTGTTGAGATCATTAGGTGCCTTTAATTTTCATCTTAAACTTATTCTCATATTTTACAAAGCTCAATAAAGAGTAACATTCTACGAGGAGACGAATAACTGTGAAGTAAGCTAATTTCATTCTGATGACACATACAGCCTAATTAAAGTAATTACTGAAACCCAATTAGCTCTCATTAACAGATGCATTTCAAATAATCATCTTCATAAACGATACGTACTTTCTACTGGCAAAATAACCCGGATGTGGATGACAAATTACCATTACTCACATCCATATCTTCTCGCTGTGAGCTTTCGTAATCGATTTGAACTTTTGAATTTATCACGGAGATCTCAGCGGTTCCTTACAAATCTAATAAGAATTAGCCTTCCCGTAAATGAGATGAAAGATCAGGCAAGATAATTGTTATATTTAATATCATTGATGTTACATGTTGAATGTATCAAGTTTTGAGCATACTTAATGAAAAATGTACCGAAACATTTTAATTGCACCAAAATATTTTGATCAAAGTAAGAACACTACAATAATACAAATTGTAACGAGCACCATATTACAGAAGAAAGACGGGAAATGCATGTGATATCTTTCATCGTACTAGTATTTAAAAGAACACTTCTAAAGACTTGTGTAAAATCTTTTATGAAAAATCATATTATGTCAGAGGTCACTCAGAGGAGGTCAGCGAATCGCCAATTATTGTCTATGTGTCACACAAGAAATGCATATGAAAGGAAACATACATGATTTTGATCATCAAACGTTCTTTTCACCATCTAGACAATGAAGAATTACATCCATTTCATATTTTTCAAAAATCCTCTATGATATAATCTGAGAGCTTTGAAACTTTTTTTTTATTTAGCACTTTTGAAGTATGCTTACTGTTACATATCAATTAAACTTTCCAAAGAATATGCAAAAGTATCTGATCAGTCTCTCACAGATGGAGTGATTAATATGACATTACATCAACTTCAAAACATTCAACAACAAAAAATATGACATTACATCAACTTCAGAACATTCAACAACAACAAAAAAATATAATGGCATTACATCAACTTTAAAACATTCAACAACCAAAAAAAAAATAATAAGTAGAAGATATGATAAATATGGGTTACTAGTATTATATCAAATACATTGTTATTTAAGATATACTTAAATAATAATTTTTTTAAGACTATAAGCATTTAGGCTTTATTTGAAATACAGTGTAGGCGTATCAAATTAGATGTTTAATGAATCATCACAATTTTAAAAGAAATCTTATTTTTAAGAGTTAATAGATTTTAACACAACAGTTCATAACATGGTTAACAACTGGTGTAAAGTCCATCCATACCACCGTATATAATAATGTGAATAAAAATGAATTTACCTGTGAAATTTTGTATGTTTTTATATACTGTGTTGTAGTGCCATAGCACCTCCATCATCGTACCTTTGGAGAAGGTTTCAAAAATATCCCTGTTGATCTCCTTATCTAAAACAAATTCAATGAAATCTATACATTTGTTTTTATTACGATTTGAAAATTAAAGATTACAATTGTCATCATCAAGCCTTGTACAAAAAATTTAATTCAAACAACAAATGCATCTCATTTCTTAGACAGATCCTAGTTTTGGTCTTGTAGATCTATCCAAGACTTAATAGGTAAGACAAAAACTCAAAGAGGAAAACATCTTCACGTCTTTGTTGTGATATCTTAGGGTAATCCAGATTCTATTGTGATGTTTTAAAAGATCAACTTCTATTTATGGACATATATGAGTCTTTGAATGTTTCTTAAAATCAAATAAAATCTTAAAATCAAATACAATTAATTCTTCACTGTAATATTTTGGGAATTTCAAAATTTGAAACCTTTTTTTTTATGCCAGAAGACATGGAATGTTTATGCTAAGATGCTGCAATAACAGAAAATTTTACGTAACATATATGTATATTATTTTTCCACTGTCACTCTAACAGTAAATATTGTAACAAATGATAATGACTTTCAATGAATTCATTTACAATATTATATTTCAATGTTAATAATACTCATCTTTATATATTTTCACAAAGTGTTCAACGTTAGATCTACATGTTAGTAAATTGAACAATATTTTTTAAAAAGGATCAAAACTATTTAAATGAAAATCTCTCTCTCTCTCTCTCTCTCTCTCTCTCATTTTTATATTATCTTTCTTAATTTCTCGTCATAAAATTCGACCTTTGTTTTATTTGGTTTTGATTACTTTGACCTGACATTATCGGTGTGGAAATCAAGAACCTAATGTATTCAGTTACCCATCTCTTTTACTTGACACGGTGGCCCGCTGAGTTATGAGTATTTTATGAAGATGAACTATTACTTAACTGATGAACGATTTTACTAATATATTTACACTTTTATAGCTTTCTAACTTCAAGGGGAATGTGTTTTCTTCCTCTAACTACTACTGTTCCATATTAACTAGTATGTCTATAGGGGGTCTACCCACTAGTCCGAAGGTTCATTAGTCCGACGGCCCACTAGTCCGAAGGTTCACTAGTCCGAAAGCCCACAAGTCCGAAGGTTCACTAGTCCGATTAAAAAAAAAGGTTAAGAACTTTTTGTTTACATATCATAGCAAGGAGCAATATATATTGCTTTAGAATTATATCGTTTTATGGAACATATACGTTTGTTAATCATCAATATATAGAATATGAATACAGTTGAAGTTCGCCCAGTTATATATCGATATGTAAATTTTCTATTATTTCTTGAGGTTTTCAATTGTCGTTAACTCCGAATTGAATATACAGTAAATAATTTTCACACACGTTTAATTAAACTTTAAGCGTATGCTTCAGCGGAAAAAAGACTAAAGCTTTATAAAAGTGACCGGGAGTTACATAATCTTATGCCTTTTTCGCTTTACCAACACAGGCACAAGAATTGTGTCGGAAAGAAACCTAACTTTTACTTTGTGCACACGAGAACAGGAATGCTGCAATGAATTCCTAAACTTATTGGAAATGAATAGGTGATATCACCTATTCATTTCATATTCATATTCGTGCTGAATAGGTGATCTCACTTATTCGAATAAGTTATGTCACCTATACGAATAGGTGTTATCACCAATTCAGTTTGAATTAGTGATATCACCAATTCGAATAGTGATATCACCTATATGTATTTCTTACAACAATAAATAATGAATGCTCCCTTTCTCAAGACTATCTAAGATTTCCATTGGAACCAAGCAAATTCGGGCTGCCCAGTTTTCCCCTGTTTTTTAGTCCGACACATTTTAAATACCTTATGTTATCGATCCCTGTCAAGTTATATAGATTTTATAAATTATACCCAGCTGGGGTACAACAGAGTGGCATACCTTTCTCTCGTTACAATGTAAAGTGGGGCATTTTCTGTATGGAACAGTTTTGCGTTTTTCACAATTTTTCCTATAGTATACATGCATAAGTGTAATATATATAATTTGTGAGCAAACAAACTACAAGTTCTACTGGGGTGCTTAAAACTAAATGCGAAGCTGTAATTCCATTGTTTCCAAGAACTCTTAAGTTATAAAACGAAAGTGAAAGTAAATGAAACTGAAGACTATAGTCTTGGGAGCAGTTGTTATTTCATAAATAATAAGAATAGGTGATAACACCTATTCGAATAAGTGATATCACCTATTTGAATTAGTGATATCACCTATTTAATTTGAATAGGTGATATCACCAATTCATATCAAAAGGGTGATATCACCTATTTGAATAAGTGATATCTCTTATTCGAATAGGTGATATCACCTATTCAGAAGTTGAATAGGTGATATCACTTATTCGAATAGGTGATATCACCAATTGAATAGGTGATCTCACCTATTCGAATAGGTGATATCACTTTTTGGCAGTAAATACCAAAACGGCACCCCATAAGGATTCAGATATTCGATATCCAGGTCTTGTAAAGTTTTCTTGTAATTAAAAAGTTTGGAAGCAATAGTCAATGTATATTTTCAGGAAATACAAGGTGCAGTCTTCAACCTGAAATATGGTGGAATACAAGACTGGACCCTTTTGTGATTAAGAATATTACTTGTATTAACCGCGTCAATTCCTTTGTTGGCATATTGGAGTTTAAGGAAAACAAGGGCTTGTCTTAGCTACATTTTCTTCTGTAAAGTCTGTTTAAAAAGGCTATGATTTGCTATATCCATAATCACAGATCCGAACCTGTTTTCAGGTGTCGAGGATTCAAAAAATGGACTTTCCTTGACCTTTTTCAAGTAGACTATTCAAAAGTTTCAAAGGGACAAGGTAAATGTTGGTGCGAATGTGATGAACACCTAACTGTTGATTTACATAAGGTAGTAACGAATCAAAAGAGACATCGTGTATTAAAGGTTTATTGTAATTGCGATGCCCATGACTACGTTTACGTCTCTGTGTATGGTTTGAAAAGTCATTTCTATTCAATGTTAGTCAAAAACATATATAATTACATGCATCATATTTTCGTAAGTGGCATATGCATCCTTTAAGTTACATAATGAGTCAAAATCATAAATCATAATCATAGTATCATAAAGCAAAAGATTTATGAAAAAATGAGTATAGCGATGATATGCCAACTAAACAGCACTGTAAAGCAAGAAAAGAATGCACAATATAAGTGCTGGAAAAACAAAGGTTGTACATGTATCTACCGTTTCTTCGTTATCGTGTATGTCAAGGTCACGCTACTTTTATTTTTATCATAAACTTGTAAACAAGATTTAATTGGAGATGCAAAGGTGAGAAATATGTTATAATAACCTTTTTTGAAGATTGTATCAAAATTCTTGCTCTACCGACAATCATTTTTTGGTACCTGAGACAATTGTAACTTTTTCAACTTTTCTGCGCATGCCTACAATAAGGAAGACGTAAAGCAAAACTTTCGTCTTGGGCCACACAAAAATTATTATTTTCTCCATAAAAGTAGATTTTTAAGGTTTTAAAACCTGTAATTTTCTGAAACCTAGTACTTTCAAGGAATTGAACAGAATTTGCACGGGTCAAGCAAAAATTCTCCGTTTGTCAATTTTCCCGTTTGTGCGTCTCGGTGTAGCTTTAACTAAAGAAATGTTTTGATTGTTTAACTTTAATATATATACATGTGTTAGAACAGCTTATTTAGAATAAATTATAGAGGCATACGCAAATAGTTTTGGATATGATCAATTGGGTTTTTTTTTCTGAGACACGGTACCTCGGTTTTCAAGGTCTCATTCGAAAGGCACCTAATACCAGCCACTTTGCTTAGGAAAAAGTCACTATCTATGTTAACGAATTCCTCTACTTTAACGACTTAGAATTGACGCATCGCGAGAATCGAACCCGGGCCTCCCGATCAGAAAGCGAGCACCCTACCACAAGGCCAATTTGACCGGTCAGCAGTGGAGACTAAAGGGTTGAGATGCGGGAATGTGAATATAGGAAGGAGGTTTCAAATTTCTATTAATAATTTTCAGTCTTAGTATTTTGTGGTCCGAATTTCAACCCCAAAAGACAGGGACATCTTAATGTACAAAATAGAACAATTGCACAGAGCTGGATACTTTTAACTCTTAAATTTCAGCTACGAACTATATTAGGTTTTCTGACAAGTGAACATTCGGACTAGTTGGCCTTCGGACTAGTGAACCTTCGGACTATTGGACCGTCGGACTATAGATCCTTCGGACTAGTGGACTGTCGGACTAGAGAGCCTTCGGACTATAGAACCTTCGTACTAGTGGGCCGTCGGACTAGAGAACCTTCGGACTAGTGGACCGTAGACAGCAATTTCATGATAGATATTAAAACAATCATTTGGATTTATTTCTTCTTTTTTCATTTCAGTCAAACAACAAATAAAACCCACATTATAAAAATTTATTTGACCTAATGACAAATTAGAATTAGATTTTGTCTTTACCTAATGGGAATCCTTCGTCTTTGGCAAAAGCCAGCAAAAAATGATCAGCATTTAGATGATTGTGGTATGTTTCACTAGGTCTTCCAATTAAGAATTCACCATCAATATTAGCTGGAAATGTCACCAGATCTCGGGGTGTCCCCTGAAAGGAAAAAATATTCACATTCATATTCACACACACACAAAAAAAACTAAAAATAAACAAACAAACAAAACAAAGACAAACAGAAAAACAATTGTAAAATATCCGTTCTGTAATCTTCTCAGGATAAATAAACAATTATTTACCAGCCCTTTTTTTGAATTGAGCTCCTTAATACTTAGAGATTTCAAATGTTGTTTGAAAGTCTTTCCATTGCAGCCCCCTTTGCAAGGAAGAATGTTATATCCCTCTGGCCACCCTGGGTCTGTCGTTGCCCAAAAGGCCAAAGGCGAACCACTGTGAACTATGACCCGCTGGAAAAGACCTGCACAAAAATAAAAAAAAAAAATTCAGAAAAGGTTTGTGAACACTAATATTAGATTAATTAAAAATTAAGGTGATGTGTTTGCCTAGAACAAGCCTCTCTCCAAAATAGTTATTCAATTAAGGACATAGGATACTCAAAAATAATGCTATAGAAATTTGTGAAACATTTTATTTCTAAAACATATATTATCACGAAGTTTTTCATTAAAGACATCCACTTCTATGCATAAGACTAAATGAAAAAAAAAATACTCGAAGCAGCAGAGATGAAGTGAGTATTTTTTTCTGTAAATACACTTGATTTCTATTATTTTGTGATTATCCCACAATGTTAATGAATCATAAATACATGAAATACACCAATATCCACAAAATTTATAAGGACATTTCCATGAAATGTTTATGAATTGAATTTCAGTAAAGATGTGAAAGATTTTTGGTAGAATACAAGAATATGAATTGCTTTAGAAGAAAACATCGTGAAAAATATGTTTCAGCAATAATAAAATCTGTGAAAACGGTTTCAAAGACTGACACAGACAATAAGAGAAAACATAAACTTGTATGCAAAAAATTTTTCTTTATCGAAGTAAATACAAAGTGACGGGCTTTGTCAGAGTAAATTCAGAGTAGAGCTTTACATGACCTACAACAAGAGGCCCATGGGCCACATCGCTCACCTGAGTAACTTTGGCCATGCTGTTCATTACCAGACTCCCCCCTTGTAATACCTATTGTGGCCCCACCCTCCCCCCAGGGGCCATGATTTGAACAATTTAGAATCTACACTACCCCAGGATGCTTCCACATAAGTTTCAGTTTTTCTGGTCCAGTGGTTCTTGAGAAGATTTTTAAAGATTTTTCCTATATATTTCAATGTAAAACTTGGGATTCCCCCTATTGTGGCCCCGCCCTATCCCCTGGGTCATGATTTGAACAATTTAGAGTGTACACTACTTGAGGATGCTTCCACATAAGTTTCAGCTTTTCTGGCCCAGTGGTTCTTGAGAAGAAGATTTTTAAAGATTTTTCCTATATATTTCAATGTAAAACTTGTATTTCCTATTGTGGCCCCGCCCTACCCCCGGGGGTCATGATTTGAACAATTTAGAATCTACACTACCCCAGGATGCTTCCACATAAGTTTCAGCTTTTCTGGCCCAGTGGTTCTTGAGAAGAAGATTTTTAAAGATTTTTCCTATATATATTTCAATGTAAAACTTGGATTCCCTATTGTGGCCCCGCCCTACCCCCGTTGGTCATGATTTGAACAATTTAGAATCTACACTACCCCAGGATGCTTCCACATAAGTTTCAGCTTTTCTGGCCCAGTGGTTCTTGAGAAAAAGTTTTTAAAAAATTTTTCCTATATATTTCAATGTAAAACTTGTATTTCCTATTGTGGCCCCGCCCTACCCCCGGGGGTCATGATTTGAACAATTTAGAATCTACACTACCCCAGGATGCTTCCACATAAGTTTCAGCTTTTCTGGCCCAGTGGTTCTTGAGAAGAAGATTTTTAAAGATTTTTCCTATATATTTCAATGTAAAACTTGGATTCCCTATTGTGGCCCCGCCCTACCCCGGGGGTCATGATTTGAACAATTTAGAATCTACACTACCCCAGGATGCTTCCACATAAGTTTCAGCTTTTCTGGCCCAGTGGTTCTTGAGAAGAAGATTTTTAAAGATTTTTCCTATATATTTCAATGTAAAACTTGTATTTCCTATTGTGGCCCCGCCCTACCCCCGTTGGTCATGATTTGAACAATTTAGAATCTACATTACCCCAGGATGCTTCCACATAAGTTTCAGCTTTTCTGGCCCAGTGGTTCTTGAGAAGAAGATTTTTAAAGATTTTTCCTATATATTTCAATGTAAAACTTGGATTCCCTATTGTGGCCCCGCCCTACCCCGGGGGTCATGATTTGAACAATTTAGAATCTACACTACCCCAGGATGCTTCCACATAAGTTTCAGCTTTTCTGGCCCAGTGGTTCTTGAGAAGAAGATTTTTAAAGATTTTTCCTATATATTTTAATGTAAAACTTGTATTTCCTATTGTGGCCCCGCCCTACCCCCGGGGGTCATGATTTGAACAATTTAGAATCTACACTTCCCCAGGATGCTTCCATATAAGTTTCAGCTTTACTGGCCCTGTGGTTCTTGAGAAGAAGATTTTTTAATGAACCCACCCTATTTTTGTCTTCTCTTGATTATCTCCCCTTGTGAGGGGACTTGGCCCTTCATTTTAACAATTTAAATTCCCCTTTACCCAAGGATGCTTTGTACCAATTTTGGTCAAAATTGGCCCAGTGGTTCTTGAGAAGAAGTCAAAAATGTGAAAAGTTTACAGACGGACGGACAGACAGACGGACAGACGGACGGACGGACGACGGACAAAATGTGATCAGAAAAGCTCACTTGAGCCTTCGGCTCAGGTGAGCTAAAAAGAGAACAATTAAAGTTCAAAATTGGTGTTACATTCAATCATAAAAATGCGGAATTCCTATTTCCTATTCCTATTTCATTACTACTATTCCACACTTGTATCAGGTTTAGCTTTTTCAGAAATAAGGAAAAATATTTAGATATTAGATAATGTTCTACGAACTCATGTCAAATTCAACTGTTAAATCTGAGAGAAAACTTTGCAACATTTATTTCAATATCTTTGAGACTGTCTGTTCTCCATAACTGTTCTGGTGTTCTTCAATGCATTTCATATACACTGTTATTATGTCTGTCCTTTCTCCATGCAGTTGTAAAATATTTATTTATGTATATATGTCATATGTACCTTTGACGATTTAATATATATGCTTAAACTTTATGTTCCTTATGTACCATTTTATATGGTATTGAGAGAAAAATAAACTGAGAAATAAATTGAGTATTTCAAATGATAAATGCTGTTTCGAAAATTGCCACAAAGACACCAAGTCAATTAAAAAATCACTACAAGGTACAAATACAAATTCTTTTAAATCCAAACATTTCAAAATTGGTCGAATACTTTTTTTTCTAAAGAAATATTTTTTAAATACAGTTGAGTATATGAATACCAAATGTTAACACATCACACCAGGAAAAAAACAAACAAAGAAACAAAAAACAAAACAAACCAATACAGACTAAATCTTTTGTTTTCATTTAAAATATGCTACTACTTTTGTTTTCATTTATAATATGCTACTACTTAATATACATTAATAATGCAATATATTTTATTAATTTCTCGAGAATCACTAAAGTAATATTTTTGCAGACGTAAGACATATCAGTTTTTAGCAAAAATAAAACCGTCACTCAAAATAAAGAAAAAAAAGTTTGAAACATAATAAAATATAAAATATAATGTTTCTTGAAAAAATCCAAAAGAACTTTATGTTTACGTTTTTGTAAAATACCCCCGGTAGTTCCTACTTTTGAAACTAAGATATGTATCAAAACTATCTATGCATATTTTGCAATTTTTTTGGTGTGCGTTTAATTTCATTCACTTCATTGCAATAATATTATAATTGGTTCTTTACTACTTGTTTAAATGCAACAAAAATGGTATGCATGTTTGGCACTCTAAACAATGTATCATTGATTCAATGTAACTTTCCTTTATGCTATTTCCTTTACGATTAGTAAGGCATATTTAAAATCCTGTGCTTTATGTTTTTCTGTTTTCATAAATCCAGAACTACAATTTTTTAAAAACCTTTGGATAACGGCGATGTTCCATGAAATCCAACATCGGCCGCACCTGCACTGTGACCATATATGGTTACCATGTCTGGATTTCCCCCAAACTCCTCGATGTTTGCTTTCACCCATTTAAGAACTTCTACTTGATCAAGAAAACCGTAATTTCCCTCTAATCCTTCATCTTTTGCAGCAACAAACCCTTGAAGAAGAAAAATAGGTTACATTATACTCCAAGGCATTATCAAGACAGAGAAATATAATATATTATAAGTTATTTAGAATGACGAAATGCAGAACGTCGATAATGTGTACACATAGTTTATCTACCAAAGTTTACGAAGTATATATGATATATTTACTTCACTACCAGTGTAACAAATCATACTATGACGTAGTCTCCAATAACTACAGAACTAAGGGTGTATCTTCCAAGAACAAAATGGTTACTCTCCAAATTCTTTTGAATTCGAGATCTTATTGAAAATGACAGACACCAAAGGAAACACTGATTAAGTACGAAAATTAAACATCTTCTTTTATCATTTTCCTTCTAAATCTTTTGCCCTGGTTACCCAGCCACTCACCGTAGATCCCTAGTCTGTAGTTGAATGTGACGACAATAATCTCCCCGTGCCCCGCCAGAATGTCTCCCTCCAGCATAGACCCCATTCCATCACGATTTGAGCCTCCATGCATGTATACAAGCACGGATGTATTCTTGATTTTGTTACTTTTTACCTGTCAACAGAGCGAAGAAAGTTTCATACATAATGCAACTTATTATTATGAATACTAGGATTCCATTAATTGAGCATAAAATAGCATTTATTAATATACAGTATTTTTTATACTGGCCTCTTATTTATTTATCTTTTTTAAATATGAACAGAGAATAAAACAGAACAAGCTGGTATCATCTTTCTCGATTAAATCTCAACAAAGGTACCTTACACCGTCACGGTAAACTCGTGGGCCCGCGATCACTGCGATGAGAAAACCGTGACGGTGTTTCGCGGAAAGGATTAAAACACCATCGCGGGGTCGCGGGAAAATACGGGATCAGCGTTGACCGTCGTGTACATGTAGTTCTCAAAGATGCAATGGGGGTGAAAATCCGCTTAAATGCAAGGTAATGGCATGTTAGTCTTTGACGGTACATATTGTCAGCTGCAGCAATACGTGCCTACCCTCACTTCACATATCGTCCACTGGTTCATACATTCATTGACATTAGCGATAACTTGTGTGCCGAGACAAGCGCCATTCCAACCCCACTCCTTTGCAGAATAGACAATAAAATGTACCTTACAGGTGCGGCAAATCTTTGCACATTTATCGCCAACAATATTGTTTTAAAGAGCTTTTACTAGAGTCATGGGTGGAGAGAGAGAGAGACTCTTGGACTTTTAAATCATGTTATTTGCACAATTCTTCTTTTCCACATTGTTACTTGTACATTGAATATAACATTTTATTGCAGCTGTTTCACTGGAGTTAAAAATGACATTGTGTGCTAAAAAAGTATTGACTTGTTTTTAGTGAAAAAGTGATCGCATGAAATCTGAAGATACAATTTTCGATGTTATCATCATGCGTATTTTTGTTGGGAAAACAGTACTTTATGTGCAGTGATGATAAATGCACACAAGAAGTATACGTCCTTATTGCGTTAACTTTCTTACTTGTCGAGCGTAAAAAATGGTATTTTTTATTTTCTAAATAGTAGTTTAGATGTAGCAGATGGTGATAATAAAAATTTAATTTAGAAATTATATCAAACAAATATATGTAACATTTTACATTTTTTACATGTAATATTGGGAGGGTGTTAAATACTTACTAGTTATAACTTACAATGGCAACTGCTTTCTCTTTACTTACCTGAGAAGTAACAAGTACTTCCAAACTAGCCGGGTTGAGAGGTAATGTTTAGCAAATGTTATCATCTCACTAGTAAATTCAGATAACGTTTAGTAAATGTTATCTTTTCACTATTTTACTGATACTGTTCAGCAGAAGTTACCTTCTCAACTACTGAACAGGTATCATTTAGCAAATGTTATCTTCTTACTATTATTATGGGTAACATTTAGCAAATGTTATCTTCTTACTAATATTACGGGTAACATTTAGCACATATTATCTTCATACTAATATTACGGGTAACATTTAGCAAACGTTATCTTCTTACTAATATTACGTGTAACATTTAGCAAATGTTATGTTCTTTCTAACAGCTACAGGCCACCGTCACTGTAGCTAAGTCGGTAGACTCGCTTGTTCCATGAGAGAAGTTCGTGAGTTCAAGCCCCGGCCGCAAACCTTCGTCGAGAAAAAATAAGGTAGCAACTGTTCCCTCGCCGAGCGCTAGGCACTTTAAAGTGAAAGTTGCGGGTCTTTCGAATGAACCCTTAAAACAGGGGTCCCGCATCACGGTAGGCAATGGCACAATAAAGAACTTTCACTGCTCAATGGCCCTAAGTGCCAAGTAAAGGTCTAAATTGCAAACCCTTCACTGGCATACGGTGACGTCTCAAACAACTCGTTTGTTCCTTAAACTTCAATATGCCAACAAAGGAATTGACGCAGTTATAAGTAATATTTTTAGTCCCAAAGGGGTCCAGTCTTGTATCCACCATAATTCAAGTTAAGTCCACACCCTTGTATTTCTTACAAATATACATCGACAATTGCTTCCAAACTTTTTAACTATTAAAAAAATCTACAGTGCCTAGATATCGAACATTTGAACATAATCCTGCAACGTGTTCATGTTCTTCTTCACCCTAAAACTATAGTCCTGCTGGACACGTCAATACTGCTGACGATAACATAGTTAATAATGAGGACCTTAAATCAATTATTATAAAAGGCCAACATTTCGGGAACCCGATCATAATTTCATAAATATTAAGAATTCTGTGAAAGATTACGCCAGAAAATGTGTCAAACATGAAAAAGAAGACCTTGACACTTTGTGAAAAAGTATAGGATGGATGTTGAAATCTCTCATTAAGCGAATGAGGGACAATATGAGAACCATCTATCCTTCTGTCTTCCACAATGCAGAAGTGAAACAAGATTTAGATAGATTACACGAATCAGTATGTACTGATCCCAGCTGACAAAGCAGGTAATTACATTGTCTTTGTTTGCAAGGCTCATTATATAAATTGTATTTTAGAGGAACTAGGATTTAATTCTACAAGTGGTAATCCAACTTACACCCATAGCTTCCTTTCTAAGGAGGAAACTCTTCAAAACCATATGTCAGTTTTAAATATATTTAATATTCCCAACAATTAAAATGAATTTGAACTAGATTCCAAAACTCCATAAAAATCCTTACAAAGATACATAGCGGGTTTCAGTAAATGTTCTACCAAGCCTCTTTCTTTACTCCTCACTAAAATATTTACAGCAGAGAAGCAGAAAATTCAGGAGTACTGTACAACAGGATATTCGAGAAGTGGTATAAATGAAATATGGATACCAAGGAACTTTTAAAAAAAATTGTAATCACAACATTTTACCAAAATCAAAAACGTCAAAACGTACGACTTTTCGACACTTTATACAGCCATTCCCCACGTTAAATTAAAGTCCAGGCTTTTTGACAGCTCCTTTTTCGATAAAAATGGAACTCGTAAATAAACTTACCTTGTCATTGGTCATTTGCAAAATTATTTTGTTAAAAAACATTCAGATTATACACACAAGTACTCTGAAGTTGATATTAAAAAGATGTTTGAGTTTCTGATTGACAATATCTATGTAGTTTTTGGAGATTAGATCTTCCAACAATCTGTTGGAATTCCCATGGGTACCAATTGTGTCCCGTTATTTGCAGATCTATTTTTGTACTCATATGAAGTAGAATTTATTCAAAAACTTTTACATGAGGAGAAGAAAACACTTGCTGTGGTCTTCAACTCGACATTTAGATATATCGACGATGTATTATCAATTAACATACAGCGTAGTTATTTGCATTCATATGTTGATTCGATATATCCCAGTGAACTTGAAATAAAAGACACCACAGAGTCTGGCACATCTATTTCATATTTAGATAATTTTACTAGAAAAGGGCGTTAATGGTAATCTAACAACAAAACCTTATGATAAACGTGACGACTTCAACTTTTCTATCGTCAACTTCCTTTACTTATGTAGCAATATACCATTGTCACCTGCATATGAGGTTTATATCTCCCAGTTGATTTGATACCCAAGAACATGCTCTACGTACAATCAATTTCTAAAATGAGGCAAGCTATTGACCAACAAGTTGATGAAATAAGAATATGAACAGTCTCGTTTTAAGTCATCATTTCGCAAATTCTATGGTCGATACAATGACCTTATCAGCAAATACAGTCTATCATTAGGTCAAATGCTGACTGACGTTTTTCATACTAATTGTTAGGCCATTATTTACACACTGAAACTTCTACGGATTTTTTCCGTTTACCCAATCGTGACAAGGAGCACACGGTGGGTGTGACCGGTCGATGGGGGATGCTTACTCCTCCAAGGCACCTGATCCTACCTCTGATGTTTTTTTTGAGGTCCGTCTTTGCTCTGCTCTTGATTTGTATTGTTTGAATGGACTTATGAGCCTGAATACTGTTCGTTATCTCTATATTTCATCATGAGTGAAATAATCTTGCAAGGGACGTTAAATAATCAATGGCAATGGATAACATTAGCAAAAGTTCTCTCCTCACTAATATTACAGGCAACATATTTAGCAAAAGTTATCTTCTCACTAATAGCTACAGGTTACACTTAGCAAATGTTATTTTCTCACTAATAGCTACAGGTAACATTTAGCGAAAATTCATTATCTATTGATAGCTACAGGTAACATTTAGCAAATGTTATCTTCTCACTTACAACAACAGGTAACATTTTAATTAGCAAATGTTACCATTTCCCTAAAAAATACAAGTAACATTTAGCAATGTTATCTTCTCACTATAAATTACAAATTATATTTAGCTACTTTATCTTCTCACTAATAGTTACAGGTAACAATTACCAAATGTTATCTTCACACTAGTAGTTACAGATTATATTTAGTAAAAATCTTCTCATTCAAGGTAACATATATAGCAAATGTTATCGTCTCACTATTAATTAAAGGACACATTTAGAACAAAATGTGTTTCTGAAACACCTTAAGACAGCTCATGGCCAAAGTTAAAGTTTTTCAAACTCCAAGGCCAAGAGTTTAAAAATGCTGATACCCAAAGAAAGGGCTTGTCACAAGAAATTTATAAATGAAATATAATAGCCCTAGTACCAACCATTCAGAAAATAAAGTTTTAAAAAAGTAGTCCAAACCCCAACGTCATTATCATGAGGACAAAAAATAATTGTACCAAAGGAAAGGTCTTGTCACAATAAATGCACAATTGAAATATGAAAGTCCTAGCAGCAACCATTCAAAAGTTATAGGCAAGGTTAAAGTTTTTTCTCAAATGTAGGTCAAACTAACAGGTCAAAGCCATGAAATCAAAATTGTTGGCATCCAAAATGGGGTCTTGTCAAAAGGAATACACAAGTGATAAATGAAAGTCCTCGAATCCACCATTCAAAAGTAATGGGCAAGGTTAGTTTTTCAAAAGTAGTTCAAACTCAAAGGTCCTGGTCAAAAGGTAAAAAATGTTGGTATCCAAAGAAAGGTCTGGACACATGGAATATACATGTAAAATATAAAAGCTTTGGCTCCGACCATTTAAAAGTTATAGTTAGGTTAAAGTTTGGTAAATGTCAAAGTAGGTCAAACTCCAAGGTCAAGAGGTCAAATATTTTGATACCCAAAATGGGTCTTGAAAAGGAATACACATGTGAAATATAAAAACCCTAGCACCAACCATTAAGTTATGGGCAAGGTTAAAGATTTTGTGTGAACAAGCAGACAAACAGATTAACAAACAGATCAAAAACTATATGTGGGGCGTAAAAATTATTTTTTCACTAATACGTATGTAGTTACAAGTATCACTTAGCTAATGTTATCTTTTTTCACTACGTAAATGTTATTTTCTTACTACGTGTAGTGGTTGTGAGTAACATTTAGCCAATATTATATTCCTACTAGTAACCAATAACTAACAATGTCAAAAGCTTTAAATTTCAAACTTTGCTTAAATGATAACAATTACAAATGATACCTCCTAACCAGTACATATAGTAAGGAGGGAAAAATTGGCATATGTTATATTCTTACTGGAAGTTGAGACATCTTATCAATTTTATCTATCTTCTAATAGTTAGTAACTTACCAACGCAATTGCTATCTTTTTAAATTCAAGTTTAGAGGTAGCAATAAAAATGAGATCTCCTTATTCGTAGTTGAAAGGTATCTTTTAGTAAATGTTATATTCTTACCAGAAGTTGAGGCATTTTGCAATTTTTTTTATACTTTATAATAGTTAATTATTAACTAAGGCAATAACTACTGAGTATCTTTTAATTATAGATTTGATGTATCAATAAAAATGAGATTTCCTTTCTCGATGTAACATTTAGCAACAGATATCTACTAACTAGTTGTTGTGAGATAACAACTGGCAAATGCTATATCCTTATTAATTAGCAAATAATATACTGTTATTAAATAGTAATTCAAAAGTAACCATTAGCAAATTTTTCTTCCGTTTGCTAGTAATTTTAAAAGAACTTACAAATGGATGATCTTATCACTAGCAAGGAAGGGTAACAAGTTGTAGACACACTTGTAGAAACACTGTAAATCTTTCAATTTCTTACTGTTGGAAAATATTTTCTTATTTAAGATGGAGGTAACAATCAAGTTTATTATTATTAGTAGTAGTATTATTATATAAATAATGTTTTTTTTTCGCGTTCACATATAGTTGTATGTAAGCCAAATGATATTTTTTTTTTGTATGTTTGTTTCTTTTTTTCGCTTGTCCTCATACTTATCGTGGAGTGGTAATAGTACCAAACGATATTCTTTCCTGATAGGACGGTTAGTTAGTTGAGGATTGACAAATAGCAAATTTTATTCTTTTACCAGCAGTAGAGAAGTAATCTTTATCAAATCTTTGAAAAATTACGAAGATAAAATTACTCTGTCATTCTGCTTTATAGTATAGCAATCTTTAAATCTATGATGAATTGTGTTTTGGTTTTTTTTTAAATCTTTTTTCAGGTATCTTCATATCTTTTTTCATTATTATTATTTTTTGGTTTTATTTTTGAGTTAGGTTGTTTTTAATAGATCCGTTTTTATTTATAAGAATTCTTTGTTTAACAGTACTATGATGTGTTTCATATTCTTTACATTCAATATTCGTTATAAAACGATTCGATGAATCATCCCAAACCAGTCTTAAAATTCTACTATGGAGACAACGTGCCTTCTTTTGAAATACAATGGATTAAAATAAATGAGAATAGAATTTTTCAATTCTAAATAAATAGATGGCATCTTTGAATTTATTTATGAATATAGATCCTAGCTTCATTACCGCCATGACTGGAGATTAAGAGATTAATTGAAACAACCTACAGGAATTTAATGTATGTAAATACGTGAAAAAGAAACGCGCCCTCTCAATTTCATCACATCACCCACAATTTAAATTAGACATGCCCTTTAGTAAATGCTGGTATATTTCAGAAAATATTTGTCAATTACGAAATATTTCTTGGAATTATTTCATAATTTAAGAGAACGATATTTTAGTAATAAATCATATCTTAGATCAGGAATCTTGCAGCCGTGCTGAGAAGGTTAAGAAATTGAAATTCAAACACTGGATAAAAATTCTATCAAAATATTAAGTGATATAAACGTAACTTTACATTTATTTTCTTCCTCCTCTCATAGTAATTAAGAAAGCGTTCGTGTTGGGAGGGGTAAATTGGAGGGAAAAGTAGAGTGTTGTCCTATTAAACCCTAATTTTGGAATGGAAATCAGGTATTATCTAAACTTCATTTTCCAAGGTTTCAGAAAAGTGGGGGAATAATGTGCATTTAAATTATATTATCTACATTTCCTCGCAGTTCTCTTAAAACAGAATTTAATCCTAACGAAAGTTACAAATATACGATATTTCTCCGTTGATGAAAATATATATGCCCTAGAAAAATTTTCTAAACGTATTCTCCATTTCATCGATAAGAGGAAAGAACAGCGCCACAGGCCATCGGAGATTTCCTGAATGGCGAAAAACTTGTGAAAATTACTTCCTGTAAATTTTACCTCGTTTTCCATATTTTAGTACAGATATTAAATTTAATGTCCCTTTATTCGATGGAATTTAATGCCTCCTAAATTATTTAAAAATGCAAAGACGAATTGCAGTTTCCCATAGAGTCGTTTAGGGCCCATAACATTTTCTTTACGCTGAAACCAATTACATTGTCCAAGAATTGAGATAATTAGTTTAATACCCAGCCAATTTCTGTCCAAAATGATTATATACTTTCTGTATTTTCTTTTCACAAGTTCAAAAAGTTCAACGATTTAAGCCTAGCTAGTTATTCAAAGCTATGTTGTTGTACGTGAGCTGTGTTATGGAAAATCTATTTCCATTCTTTTTTTTTTCGTGTTACTGGCCGCTGAAAAATTTCACCGGTATTACATTTTTTTTCAATCCACAGATGGAATTTCTTGCATAAAGCATATTTACTTATCTTCAATGGCATGAAATGTCAATGAAATCAAACTGTGTTATCGAGCCAGAAATTAACCAGAGATACACAAGCAGATCGAAGGCGGTACAAGCTAAAGATTGTCTTGGATTGAGAAACTGTATAGAACCAGGTATTGGCTAAAAATACACATTTCACTGCGGAAAATCAGAGGGAGCGAAAGCGAATTGCAGATATAAACTTGATTTGGGTTATGGATTTTATATCAACAGATAACAGATTCGTTAAATCTGATGGATGTTGAAAAAAAAATACAGCATTTGACTGTTGCTCCGTTTAAAACAAGAATAACAGAAAATTGATCAATATTTGTAAAAGCTCCTTTTAATTAATTGCTGCTTGTTCGTTTGATATGGTGTTATTTTATATGCTTACTGATTTTAAAAACACTATTCTATACACATGTGGTTTGCTAAGAAGAGACAGAGCTTTGCAAAATAATACTATAGTAAATACCGGAGGTATGTATAAATTGATGTAGAGGCAATCTTCGCTTGAGTTGTGAAATCCTTCAAAATGATCTTGGATGTAATCCATGTGGTCATACTGGATACAAGCAGGGGGTAAAGTCAAGGCATCTAGCACACCCCTCCAAGGAATGGGTGAAACTGGTCTCTGGAAAAGAGGAAAATGTTCTTATGAAGTTTCCAACAATGTCTCGATTTTGCATCTGAGGTACATATGCTTTGGCTCCAAAAATTCAAAAATGTACATCTCGACTTAAGTGCGGGTTGGGTACATGATTTGTGAGAAATTGTTTAAACTAAGAGTGAATAGGATCGGGCAGCAGGAAAAGCCTATTCAAACCTCTCCACGATCAAGGTCAAATAACAAGACATTTAAAACTTGTTACTAGTAAGAAAAGAATGGAGAAATTACACCAAAATGGTTATAATACCAAACATAATAAAAAACAAAATTTATGTAACATCACGTACTCTTCGTTCATAACAAAACTTTCTATTTACTTTCTTTAAAGATATAGAAACTTGTTGAAAAATATCTTTATTTAAATTCTTTCTGCGGATCATTTCGAAGAAACCACCATATTTTTTTTTAGAACAGCTATGATTGCGTACTGATTTAGATAATACGGTTTTCCCCTCGTGAAATAAAGTGGTTGGAATGGTAATGCAATAGAACAGTTCGTATTTAGAGAACATTCTCTCTCGTATTTTGACGTTTGTATCTTATAAATAGATACACTTGCAAAGGCATTGAACGTAGATAGCAGATTTTTATGCTTAAAACGTAAAACTTGTAACTTTTGACACGAGAAACCTCCCAAAATGTTAATATTTACAGGTGCTATGTTCGCAGATCGTGCATTTTATTTATATATCTTGCATTTGCACGTGCTTTGCATTCATTCATGCGCGGGCAAAAATATGTAGGAATGTCAAGCGGGCTTGGAATCAAACTTCTCCGTTTCGACAACAATGTCCTTATCTCGGTTCGCAGTTTTTGAAGTAAAAACAAAATTAAAGCTGCTGTCAGGAACTGAGTTATGTCTTCCAAAACTAACACTAGGTCATCAGCTGAGGTGGCAGAAATGTTTATTTTACGATAAAAACACACACTAAACAAAAGCTGCCTCTGAGCAGTAACCATTCCCCCTAAAAATTATAGTTATTTCAGCAATTATAAAATTATAAACAAAAATACAGATCTAGACCGCCCGTATTTATAAGTTATCGAAACATGTTATACTGAACTATATCATAGTTCTGTACAAGAAAACTTAATAATTAATAGTATCTAATATAATCTATACTCCTCTTTTCTAAATCTTTTCCTATCCGTTCATTGAACAGAAAATTTACTGATATAACTTTACATGGGCTATACCTGTCCGTTTCATTGCCGCTTCCTTTTTTAAAATAACTTTTTTTCTATTCATATTATTCCCTTTTTGTATATCTGAGGAATAATTACTGGAGAAAAAATGATGTGTTAAACAAGAGGAGAGGATGCTTAAAAATAATAGCAACCAACTCGACAGGAAAATATACGTCAGAGATTAAAAATACATTGTACATAAAATCACATTTAAAGCAATTTTACGAAAACTAGCGTTACACGATAAATGTTTTGATTGAATTGTAAACTTGAAGTCTTATAATATGTTTTACTATATCCCTAAAATATCATTGATTAAAAATATATTTCAATTCCAGAGGTTAAGTTCATTTGAGACGAGGAAATCGAAAGACCTATAGAAGATTCATGTTCCATTGTATTCACCACATGAATGTTGATAAATTCTGATGTAAATTTGTGTAAAATGTAATTTAAAGGATTGCTTAATAATAAAAATCGTAAAGGTAGCTAAATCAAATCTGCACTTACTTTCAATTATTTAGTAACAAATATGCTGATATATATGAACATTTTGCGTTGATATATTTAAAGCTAAAAATGAGAAATGAAAATTTCATAGCTAAAATCTAACCTTACATACTTGAATAATCTTTAACATATAATGATGAAATCTTTTCTTCATTGTTAATTGATTTTCCGATTTCCATTCATATATATTTTTTAACAAATACAACAGATGCTATATCGTTTTAAAGGGGAGCTACATGTATTTAGAAATCTACGAAGAAATGTTAAAACTTTAAGGATAAATGTTACAATTTCATATACATGCAAATGAAAACCTTTTCCTTGTTAAATTAAATATCCAAAGCTGTCTGTAGAGTCCAATACATCATTTATTTGGTATTAACAGCGATTTCAATTAACCAGAATAATTAAACACCACCAGAATTTTTGTTTTCCTTGCTGCGCTTACTTGTCATCAGCCCAAAATACACTTCTTAACCTTTTAAATCGTGAAAATCTTAAGATAATAATCGGTTACTGAGCTTTTAAGCATTTTTTATATACAAGCCACATCTTTAAATAAATCTGCAGAGAATTCCAACACATGTGTTTTCTTGTGCAAGAGCAAAGCATCAGTTTGTGGTTTCATTTTGGTCCAAAATTTCTGAATAAAACTAGTGTCAGGATTCCGTTTTACGGAATAAAAAACGACTTATTAAGACCCTAAATTTTACTAGTATCATGTCTACTTAATAACTTTGCTTAAAATTGTTCATCTGTAAACTTCTTTCCAAGACCTTATAAATAAGGTTATAAATCTTTTCAAACCAAATTCACAAAATTAAGTCGCAAGATAGACCACTGATGCTTTTGACACGGAGTCTGTAGAGGCGACATTTTGAAGAATTCTTGGTCACAGGTTCAGTCCATAAACATGGACTTTAATCCAATTTGGATACTTTTGCTTGCATGGCTGAAATTGCTTTTTAAGTAGCGTTAAGTTGATGTGGCATACTAAATTAGCAATAAAAGTTCATTAACGTCCAATATACACTACAAAATCGGGTGATATTAGAAATGTTTGTCTGTGGTCGGATGAAAGGTAATGGTAGAGCCGGAAGTGACTGATATTTGACAAGAAATCTATCAAGGCCACGTTTACTACGGTGTATGTTTACGATTCCTTAACATCATTACATGTATGCCCGAATTTTTCCAATAGATGCGATAAAAGAAAGTCAAAACTAGATTTAAACTCGGTATACATCTATAGAAGTACCCAATAACTAAAATATATATATTTGAAAATAGAACTCAACTTTCAACATTGCAAAACCTGTTTTGAAATAAACTTTCTACTGCATTTTAAGAATGTAATTAGTTCAATTATCGATCACTTGCAAATTTATTCTTTACTTACATTAATAAATACCCAGTCAAGTTTTTCCGTTTAAAAGAAAATCCTTTTAATATATTATCTTTTTAAAAAAAAATACATAAATTACAAGGAAAATATCATATAAAATACCTCAAATCGAAGTTCCTTTACGGGTGGCGAAGCATACGGGATTCCAAGAAAAGTATAAATCTGTTTACCTGGGACGCGTTCAGTGACAAAACCCCGTACTCGACCGTAGGTTGTCTGCCGAATCAAGTCCTCCTTGGACATGCACAGATGAAAGCACAAGACAACAAAACACGAACACACTGACAACATTTTGCAGGAAATATCATTTAGAAACTGAGGCTAATACAACATGATTGATATTTATACTGTAAACTCCAGCGTGGTGGGACGCAATAGAACTTGCAGTCTTCGACTCATCAGATAAATTCTAAGCAAAAAAGCTTACAGATTGTTTGTAGCTTTTACGGCGCATACTTTGATAAGAGTTAATGTTAATAATACATAAACTATAGTCATTCACAATTTGTTTGCTTCTCATCAACCCGGCTTCTGCAGGTCGACAAGTTATACTAATTATTTTCTCGTCATTTCTCATAGAAGTTCTACTTAAGTTTTCATGAATGAAATATTTTTCTTTCTTAATGTGAAAATATTTTAAGAACACCACCAAATAGTGTGGACATTCCGTGTCAAAAATAACCAGATATGATCCCCTGGATTTTGACACGGCATTTATTTAAGAAGGGTTTTCGACTTGGTATTAAAATAATTGTCGGAATTTGAAGGGAAAAAGTTAACGAACTTGCTAAGTTTTACCCATTAATAAAGAATGGAATTCGCGTAAAATGTTTGCAATTATTGGTAAGTAATGAGATACTATTTGCATAAGAAAAATTGATTTGACACAGTTCTTGATTATTGAAATTTTGAGGGAGAGAAAAAATAAAAACTTGCAAAAGTTCTCCACATTTAAACTGAAGGACATGTACTGTCATGAAATATGTTGTCATCAGATTTGGGGGGGGGGGGGGGGGGAAGGGTATCTTTTGATAACAAAAGAAATAAACTTTTTTCTTACATAGTCTTTTTTCTTAAACAACAATGCACTATACGTCTGTAATGTTTATATTACTTGATTAAATTTTGCAATGATTATATTGATTAAATTCTGTAATGATTACATTACTTGATTAAATTGTTTTGCAATTGTGAAAACTATTTTTTTATCCCGATATCAATCAGAGGCATATTGTTTTTGATCTGTCTCTATCTGTTTGCAACATGATCATTGCTCATAAATCTTATGGAATTCATAATTGGCACAAAGTTAGCAGAGAAGTTGACTTTAACATGGAGAAAAGTTAGAAGTCCATATATTTGGCAAAATGTAAGGTTATGATAAGGTGTTGTGCTGCTCAAGGTCTATAGTAAGATCAAGGTCACAGAAAATATTGGCCGTTCCATAAATTTGCAATAAAATAACACAAGAAGTTCATTCTTGGTATAAAGGAAGTTATAATGAACTTAACACAGGAATATGCCAAGACAAAGTCATTAAGATGAAATCAAGTTCAAATATGTCCCAATAACCACTTAACCACATTTAGAGCCATTTGCGTTCCACTTACACAATTTTTAAAAATTTAGTTATTTCGATAATTCCATGCATCTGTTTGCCTACAAAGCGCGGGTGAGACAACACTCCATACATGTATCTAAGTGCATGATCACCGAGATCCGAGGGTAACAAACACATATAATATTAAAATCAAACTCATGATAAAGTATATATGATGGCAACTTTTTTTTTGTGGTTGTGATGGTGGTGATGGGTTCTTTGAATTTCCGTCTTGGCTAAAGGTCATTTATTGTTCAGTTCATAACATTCCCCCCATAATAAAAATAATAAAAGTGCTTAACGACTCAACCATATTTAACAATTATTCCTATCCTTCCTTGCATAGTGGCTGCCAAACATAATTTCTCATGAAAAAAGTCAAAATAGTAAAGTTTATATATGGAATGTGGAGATAACGAACAGTAATCAAGCTCAAAACTCAACTGAAATAATACAAACCGGGAGCAGAGCAAACAAGGACCTCTCAAAGCTTCAGAGGTAGGATTAGATGTCATGGAGGCTTAAGCATCCCCTGTCAACCGACCGGTCACACTCCTTGTCATGATCCAGCAAACGAAAACATTTGTAAACTCAGTGTGTAAATTACTATGCAAAACGTCAGTCAGCATTCGACTTAATGATAGATGGTATTTGCTGACAAGGCCATTGTATCGACTTCAGAACTTGCAAAATGTTGACTTTAAATGAGACTGTTGATATCCTTGTTTCATCAAATTGTTTGTCAATAGCTTGCAGCTATTTAGAAATTGTTCTTACGCAGAGCATGCTCTTGCGTATCGAATCAACTGAGAGACACAGGCGTGGATCAAGAAATTTCATAGTAAAACAACAAAAATAAACCCCAAACGAATCCAACCCAAGAAATTTCTTCACAAGCAAAAAAAAAAAAACTTTCCCAAACGTGAAAAACAAACAGATTTCTTAACAGGGGTCTACGGGTCTACGTTTTCTAGATTCTAAGGGGAAGGGGGTCCAAAGGCATTTTTAGTTTCTTTTCAGTTTATACATTTAATAACTCTGCAAATTTCGGGGGGGGGGGGTCTGAACCCCCCACCCTCTAGATCCGCGCATGAGACATAAATTCCATATGCAGATGATAAGGGTATATTGTTAAATAAATAAAGGAATTGACGATAAAAAAGTAGAGGTCATCACGTTTAACATAAAGTTTTGTTGTTAGGTTACCATTTATGTCTTTTACTGGTAAAATATCCATATATGAAACAGATGTGTCAGACTTTAAAGTATTTTTCATTTCATGTTCACTGGGATATATCGAGTCGACATACGAATGGAAGTAAATATTGTTATTGATAATAAGTAACTATTGTTATTGATAATAAGTCGTCGATATATCTAAATGTCGTGTGGAAGGCCACAGCAATTGTTTTCTTCACCTCATGTAGAAGTTTTTGATTAGATTCTTCTTCATATGAATACAAAAATAGATCCGCTTACAAAGGAGCGCAATTAGGTCCCATTGGAATTCCGAGAGATTGTTGGAAGACTCATCTCCAAAAACTACATAGATATTGTCAATCAAAAACTCAAGCATCGTTTTAATATCAACTTCAGAGTACTTGTGTGTACAATCAGAGTTTTTTTTTAACAAAAGAATTTTGCAAATCACTATTGACAAGGTAAGTAAATTTAGGAGTTGCATGTTTATTAAAAAAGCAGCTGAATATGATGTCAAAAAACCTGGACTTAAATTTATCGTGGAGAATGGTTGTATAAAGTTTTGAAAAGTCGTACGTTTTGATGTTATTGATTTTGGTAAAATTTTGTGATTTCAAATTTTCTAAAAGTTCCTCGGAGTTTTTTAGTACCAAACTTTGATTTACCAACTTTGGAATACATGTTTATTGTTCTACGATACTCCTGAAGTGTCCCCTTCACTGCTGTTAATATTTTATTAAGGAGAAAGAAAAAGGCTTGGTAGAACATTTATAGGAACCCGCTATGTATCTTTGTTAAAGATTTTTATATAGTTTAGTGGTCCAGTATAAGTATGGTATGATTTTGGGGAATATTAAAAAATTATTAAAATATTTAAAATCTGACATATGATGTTGAATAATTTCCTTCTTAAAAAGGGGGCTATGGGTATAAGTTGGATTACCACTTGCAGAATTACGCGGGTCATTCAATAAGTAATGCAACACACAGTTTATCATAATAAATGTAGAAGTAGTTGATTCTATTTTTTAACATTTGTAAAGTTTTATTAAGGAACCCCTGATCACAGAAAACCTCATGCTTTTTCCTATTGTTCTCGCAAAGGAATTTACTTTTAAAGACTTAGTAAGCATGGTCACTACACTGAGCTGATAACTGTTTAAAATGATCTCTGACAAGAAGATGAAAACGAGGGCGTATGTGAAAACTGTGCTTCATTACATAAATAGCTGAAGAACCAATATTAAAAATATGATTTTAATAAGTAGAAAGTGCAGTCTTTCACGCTGTATTGTTTCAAATGGATTCAGAAATTCAGAAGTAAAAAAAGTACAAGTAAAAGATCGCAGTCAAACTAGTCAATCGGAATTTGTAGGGGCACCAAAAATATCAATGTTGTGAGCAACACGATATTTGAAAACGTCAGATTTGCATTGATAGACATTGCTAAGACACTAAACATTTCATCGTCACAACAATTTATAGAGTTCCGACAAATGAAATAAATCAAATAATTCTATCAGATGGGTGCCTTATTTCCTTATAAATGCCTAAGAGAAAACACACGTTAAATGACCCAATGGTCTATTTAAAAGTGAGCATTTTTACAGAAAAGATTTTATAAACTTGAGTGATAGATGTCGTAACATGGGTGTAGTTATATATTTTTATAGCCGAAAAGGAAGATCAAGAATAAAATGTGGAATCAAAGAGGAAGCTGTCGTCTTATTATTGCAAAGAGAAGCAAGGGCTCCAAATATGTTTTATAAATTTTCTTTTTACTCAAGACGTTCAGTAAAACATGTACAGCCAAAGGAAGAACTATCAGTGGTAAATTTTGTGTTAAAGTTTCACTCAGGAAAGTTAAACAGATTTCCTGCAAAGCAAGTCCAAATGCTGGTCCTCAGGGTATTTTTCTGTACCTGATAATGCTGCTGCAAATAAACATAGAGAAATAAATAAAATTTTGAAGAAAAAGTAAGTTTACAAAGCTTAGCCACCCCCTCCCCCTATATTCGCTAGATCTCAGCCATTATGAGATCTTCATATTCCAAAAACGTATGAAAATAATCGAGCATATCATGGAAAATGCTATTCATCCTATTCATCAGTGTCTTTAGGGCATCCCTAAAGATGAGTATGCTGAAGTTCTCTGGTTATGGGTACAAAGACTTAGACAGGTGTAAATGTTAACAAGGATGATTTTAGAGATTGAAAGTATTAAGAATAGATCTGCTTTACGTGTTTTTCCTATTATTAGATGACATTTTGAATTATTTATTGAACGACCCTCGTAAATCCCAGCTCCTCTAAAAATACAATTAAAATAATTAGGATTACAAATATATATATATATATATAAAAATATCCAATATACTTTGGGTTCTACTAGATTCAAACTACAAAAATAAACACACCTGTGAAAATTCAGCAGTATGTAATTCAAATCACTTTGTTTCTGCTGTGTATTTTGATTCACTATGACGTAATAAAAAATCTTCAGCCATGTAAAAAAAAAAGAAGAAGAAGAATATTTGTACCAGGAATGGTCACATGTTTTAAACTTGAAAACAGAAGACAGTCGTTACACTTGTGATAGTGAAATCAGAAAAAAGGTTCGACCGTGAAACAGAGAAATTAGGTTTACTAAGTGATAAGTCTGAGTGTAATTTATTGTTAACATCGGTAAGCTACATGTTTAACAACTCTTAAATTTAGTGTATGCTTTAACGTACGTGTC